CGGTGATGGAAATGGAGAGGGCAAAAAGAGCCCTGGTGTAACGGACCTTGGTGCCGCTCCCATCCCAGAGAACAACACTGGATCTGCTTCCACCCGAAGTTGTGACGTAGGAGAGGAAAACATTTCGTGTCCCACTCTTGACATTCGCCTTCCTGACTGAGCATCCGTATTCTCAAGCACTGGTCCATTGCTAGCACCATGCCCAACACGATCATTCTGAACATCTGCAACCACTTCTCTCACGCCCTCTGGGGCCGCCGTAACATCACCACCATTCCCACCAGTCAAACCTGGGCCAGAACGAGGTTCCGTCGCGCCGATTCCGGTTGCCTCAAGGGCACGGGCATACGCTGCTTCATCCGCAGGGGTAGCTCTTGCCTGAGGCGTCACGCCGTTAGGCAACTGTTGTTGTGATACTGGATTTACCTCCCGCGCAGCATGCCTACTTGGGCTCATCACCTGCTGATACTCAGCAGGAAGGTCTGAGAAAGACGCGTTAACAGAAGTGTCCATGCCTATAAACAAACGGCGCCACGACTGTTTTACTCCGCTTGAGCCATGTTGGCATCATAGTACATATGGTTACCCTGAGCTTCTGTGCACATCAGAGCACCACACATGTTTCGGATTCAGACTTCAGCAAAACCCTAAACCCAAACCCCAAACCCTAAACCTCCATGATGGGTTTGGACCGGTGGAGCCTCGGGTTTTGCCCTCAGCCTTTTTGAGTCAGGGCCTAGGCTGCCAAGCTATCTTCCCGCATCCTATCACCGCTCTAGCGTAGCACTTCCTTCCATGGATGAATGCTGCACCTACTTCGGAGACACGCCCAGTCTCCGAAGAAGGCATAATGTAGGGGCCTAAACAACTACCTATACTATTTTGGGGGTTCCTTATTAGAATTATAGTATAATGGGCCCCAAAACCCTATTCTAATCATTAAGGCCCTATGTTAGGTCGTGGCCGCTCCGCACATCGAAGCCCTCAATGTAAGGGACCAGTGGCCCCCAAGCCATGAACTCCGACATGTGGAACTGGATTCTTGTTAAGGAGTTTAATCTAAGCTACCATAATAGGGATCTATAGTAACCCAGAGACTCCAATATCCCTTAATTAAGGAATATTCCTTAAATTATAGTAGGATCCTTAATATGATTTAAGGTATATTCCTCAATTAAGGGATATTGGAGTCTCTGGGAACTGATATGATTACCTTATTATAGTAACTTAAACTAAATCCTAAATCCTAAACCCTAAACCCCAAAACCCAAAACCCTAAACCCTAAACCGACCCTTAACAAGAACCCAGAGGATGACACAATGACAGAATCATCATCCCAAGCGAGGCCTCAGAGCTGCAGCGGACTCCGGGTCTAGGGTTTTAGGGTTATAAATTTATAAGGTTTTAGGCTTTGAGGCCCCCTTTTTAGGGTTTAAGGGTTCAGGGTTTAGGGTCTAGGGTTTAAGGTTTCGGGTTCTAGGGTTTTAGGCTTTGAAGGCCCTTCTCACTTCAACGTCGGAACCGTGAACTGCTGCTGACTGCGTGTCCTGTCTGCCAAGGGGCCATCACAAACGATGATCAGCCTGGGGATCGCAAAGGAGGCGGGAGAGCGTGCGGATACCGCTGAATGAAGATCATATAGGGGCCTGAGTAAGTAGATGAATAGGGCTTTTGGGGTCTATTGTGCTATAACTATAGTGAAGAACCACCAAAAACAGTATTGGCTGTTATTTAGGCCCCTACATTACGTTACTAGTCCTTTCTGACAGACCTGCGTAAACTCCGCACCGGCAAATCGCAACCCAACCAAGTCGCAGCAAGACAAACCACTAGGCATGTGGACTTCGTGAGGTCTTGCTGCTCCAGTGGGGCATCCCAACTGCGAAAACAAGCTTTTTGGCGGAGTTCACATCACGAATTCGCCATGCCCTCAAAAGGGGGACTGCCACCACAAACAGTTCACCCAAAATCCTGAAAGGGGTGTGGATGATGCAAGACTGAAACCTCGAAATCCTGAACCAACCCCACGCCCTGCAGCCCCTGAACCCTCTGCACGAAAGCCGAAACGTCTTTAAAACTCAACTCTACAACACCCTTTACCTTCCAAGACCCAAACTAAGCACTACACCCCTAAACCCTAAACCCTAAACCCTAAAACCCTAAACCCTAAACCCTAAACCCTTAAACTCGCCCAAACTCAAAAAGCACCCAGCGGCGGGCAGTCGGCAAGGCCTTGTACTCGAGTGAAGCTCGCGATTACCGCCTCTAAGAGCCTGAGCTACGTGGTCCATAAGAGGGCTTTTACGTAACAAAAACACATATTAAAATAAATAAATAAACATATATATATATATATATAGCATTTTAGAGTGCGTTTTAGAGTTAGGGTTTAGGGTTTAGAATATATGAATGTATAATATAATGGGTTAAGAGCTAAAACTTAGGGATTGCAACTGAAGGGCCGGGCCTTTGGGGTTTAGGGCTTTTGCGTGTACCCAAGCTGCATGCTGTTAAGCTTAGGGTCTGTAGGCTTTCAATAGGGTTTAAAGGTTAAGAGTTAGGGCTTCGGCCCTTGAACCCTAAACCCTAATACCCTATACCCTAAACCTCTAATCCCTAAACCCCTAAGAAGCAATTCCAGCCCAGGGGTGTTGATCAGGCTGGGGTTCTAAACCCTAAACTCTTACGGCTGTGAATTTAGAGGCAAGGTTGGAGACACGACTTCGGTCTCGGGTGTCTCAAGCAGCCAGCATGCCTTCTTCAAACCTGAGATGCCTGGTTACTGTAGCTACACCCTCTGTGAGGGCTGGTTCAGAGGTGAGGAGTCCTCACCTGTTTCTGTGCCCTGAGATTTGTGCTGCAGTGTCGTCCTTGAGGCAAGGTGTCTTGTGTTTAAGTGCTTTGGAGCCTGTGGCCCGCTAGCTTTCACCGTCACGAAGCTTCTGAGTTCAGAGCTAAGGTCTTCCTGCATAGCTATATCTATAGTATACTGGGCCCCAAAACCCTATTCTGATCATTAAGGCCCCTTGTAGTAGGGTCTTCGGGCAAGAAGCGCCCGAAGAACCTACAACCACCGCCCTTTCGGATTGAAGGTCGGGAGATTTTTTGTGTCAGGCTATCCCGCAAGACGAGGAACCCTAGAAGCAGACCAGTTCCCTACACTTCACTCGACGAGGCTGTACCTATATATATATATATATAAATATATATATATATAGATAGATGTATGTATATGTATATATATATATATGTATGTGTATATATATATATATATATAGTTAATCGTATGTGTGTATATATATATATATACATCGGGCTACTGTGGAAGCATGATCTCTGCTGCATTGCTTGGGGTCTCAGCCTATGCTTCGACCTGGTGCTTGGACATAGTACAGGTAATGATGAAGGCCCGATACTCTACTATAACTACACCTATCGTAAGGAACCCCCAAAATAGTATAGGTAATGATGAAGGCCCAACAAAATGCTACAACTATAATGAGGAACTTTAAGGAACCCCTCCCCCCCCAAATAGTACAGGTAGCTATGAAGGGCCTATATTATACTCTGACTATCGTAGGGAACCCCTCAAAATAGTATAGGTAGTGAAGAGTTGAAACCCGACTGAACCAAGGGACATCGTTGAAGGATGACTTGGAATGGGGCTGGTCGTGATGACCTTACTGGAAGAGAATGCTGCTGCAGGGGCTGGGGTCGAGGGCTTTCAAAGATCAAGCATTCTTCGGTCAAAGTGCTTGAGTCAGCTATTTAAGCCCTGGATCAGATCTGCGGATTGGGATGCTCAGGCGTTCACATCCATCTTGCGAATGTTGGGCTACATGTCTGCGAGTGCAGAAGCACATTGATTTTACAGTTGAACGCTCCAGAGTGAGAAATGACTGAATGACCTATGAGCCGTCGGCTTGCAAACAGACTCACGCTACTTGGTCGATTAGAATCTGGGTCGAGCTACTGGTGAGCAGGGCCCCCCAACCGACCTCCCTTACACTTTTCAACGCACTCATACGACCCATACCTACCTACCTGCCTACCGACCTGCCTGCGTGCCTGTCTGCCTGCCTACCCACCTACACATTAATGCGTCCATCCATCTAGCCAGTACCGATCTATCTATCTACCTATACCCATGTACGTGCGTATGGGTGTACGATTGTACGATTGTACGTATGCACGTGTGTTCGTCTGTTTGTCTGTCTGTCTGTCTGTCTGTCTGTCTGTCTGTCTGTCTGTCTGTCTGTCTGTCTGTCTGTCTGTCTGTCTGTCTCTGTGGGGCCGCTTCGCCATAGCTTTTGGAGCACATTGTGATTGAGCCGTCGAACGATTACAATAATTCCAACTTTTTCTGGCGGACGCTCTCGACCACAACCAAGTCGCCACGCTCAGCCTCGGCGAAGTAGCTTTGACCTGCCAGCTGACTAGAAAGGCAACCTTCGGGAGGGACTGGGGCTTCTGTATGCAGCCTTAAACCACCAAACCCTAAACCCTAAACCCTAAACCCTAAACCCTAACACCAAACTCACAATCCCCTGCCTAACTTCCCTTCGCCAGGCCTCACCAACCTGCCGCACTTCGGCAACGAAGGGCGGCTTCTTCTCCTTGGCTTCAGAGTCTGGGGCTTCATTTAATACAGGGGGCCATTAGAGTAGGGTTTGGGGGCCCGAGGTACTATACTTATAGTAAGGAACCCCCCAAAATGGTATTGGTAATTATTTAAGCTTCTAGTGTCAGGATTTGTCTCCTTTGGTGGTTGTTGGCTCAGGACTCACACGGGGAAGACTCCTACCCTAAACCCTTAAACCCCTTAAACCCCTAAAGACCCTAAAATCCCTAAACTCCCTAAACCCTAAAGCCCCTAAACCCTAACCCTAA